GGAACCTCCTGGGCTCCAGTTTGCACCCACTGCCCCTTGTCCTGTCACTGGACATCACTGCACAAAGCCTGGCTCTGTCCTCCTGACACTGCCCTGAGCAGATTTGTGCCCATGGATGAGGTGGCCCCTCAGTCTCCTCTTCTCCAAGCCCAACAGCCCCAGCTCCCTCAGCCTTTCCTCAGCAGGGAGATGTTCCCCTCCCTCCAGCATCTCTGGGGCTCTGCCCTGGGCTCTTCCCAGCAGTTCCCTGTCCTTCTGGAACTGAGGGGCCCAGAACTGGGCACAACATCCCAGATGTGGCCTCACCAGGGCAGAACAGAGGGGGAGCAGAACCTCCCTGACCTACCAACCCCCCCTTTCTAACCCACCCCAGGTGCCATTGGCCTTCTTGGCCACCAGGGCACATTGCAGGTCATGGTCCTCCTGCCCACCAGGACCCCCAGTTCCCTTTCCCCTGCCCCCCAGCAGCTCAGCCCCCAGCCTGCCCTGCTCCATGGGGCTGTTCTGCCCCAGCTGCAAAACTCTACACTTGCCCTTGCTGAATTTCATCACGTTTCTCCCCAGAACACCCCCCCACCCCTCTGCTAGGCAGCAGAGCCTCGGGCTTTGCCCTCACTCCAGCTCTCCCATCAATCCTGTCCCCTCCCGAAACATTTTTTCATTCGACATGTTCAAGTTTTCACAGTTTTCCATGAGCAGTTACCAGGACTGTTAGCACCTCTGTGCTCCCACCCTGAGCTCCTGGGGGTGGGGTGGCTGCACCCCCACGCTGCCCCCAGCCCAGCAAGCCCTGCAGGGCTGCCAGGAACCAGCCAGGGCTCTCAGAGCACCTTCCCTCCCCCCTCTCCTGTCACCTGTGTGTCCCCAGCGCCTGCAGGGAGCGGTGGGACACCCTCCCTGTGAGACCTGGCCAGGTGCAGACACCCCCAGGCAGGTCACCTCCTTTTTTAATGCCCCGAAGGGCTTGGCAGGAGGAGACGCAGCCACACGCAGGGGCACCCCGAGCTGCAGCGAGGCTGCAGTGCCATCCCCAGGGCTCCTGCCCCCCGGCCGGGCACGGGCAGGGAGCAGGGCAGGGGCAGACACCCCCCTCAGGCACACAGCTGGATGTAGGTGTCCTGAGACCAGAGCCAGAAGTAAGGGAAGACCTTCTGGGAGAAGGAAGCCCGGAACTGCAGGATCTGCGCCATGTTCTCCGCGTTGTAGAAGGTCACTCGGCCTCCTTCGTAGTCCAGGTGGACCCTGATCTTCCGGGGCTTCTCCTCCAGCGCCAGGGGGGCCGGGGGCATGTGCAGGGCCGTGTACTGCCCGTCCCAGTCCCGCCGCAGGGCCCAGAGCCTCCCCAGGGCCGTGGCCAGGGGCTCCTTCCTCTGCACGGACTCCAGGGCCACCCCCACGGCCCAACTGTCCCCGTCCCCCACCTCCAGCTCCCAGTAATGCCTCCCAGCCTGGAAGCCCGGGGAGCCCAGGACGCTGGGGCTGCCCGTGAACCTCCCGGGGGTGTCGGGGAGGGTCTCCTGCCCGTCCCCCAGACGCAGGGTCCTGAGGTCCTGGGACAGGACCAGGTCTGGGCTTGCAGTCTCCGGGTCCAGCCTCACCTTCACTGACAGGGCAGAGAGAGGTGTCGGTGCTCTGGGGCAGAACCAGCACCTCTCCCTCCTCCTCCACGGGGCTGGGATGTGTCCTGTGGGCAGCCCCCCCGGGTGGCAGGGGACACAGGACCCTGGTGTCCCACCCCCCGGGACACACGTTCCCTGAGGCAGGACTGGGCAGGGAGACAGAAGGGAGGGACGTGGCTGATCCCAGGCTGGGCTATGGGGTGGGATGTGGGGTGGGATGTGGG